TTGCAAATGATGTTCTGAAATTGAAAGTCCTATAAGCAATTCTTTGTACTTCTGTTTTCAAATTGTGTGGAAATGTTTTCTCACATGATCGCTGGTGCAGGAAAAAAATATTATCCATAATAATTGTTCAAAGACACATCATAGCCCACACATGATACATTATTAAATCCAAAACAAAGTTTTGCTTTCTCTAAAAACTCCTCGAGGTCATTTCTTAAATACGTAGCAGCCGTGAATGTTTTCTTGTCCCAAACAAAAACTGCTTTCCTCAGTTTAGATCAGCTCCTTTATAAGGAGCATTACGCTGAGCAGCCGTTTGGTTCACGTTAAAGCTCTACTTTAATTTAAGCTTTAAGAACATCTGAAAATGGGGTCATGTTCAGGAACTTAGCCGCTGGATTTAAACCTCTTGCACTGATTTTTGCCAGCAGCACAGTTTGTTGATTTCAGACTCTGAAGACCTCACATTAAAATGTTAGAGATAATTGATGCTCATCTGGGCAGCCAAGCATGCTTCAATATTTTAAGCTAATTTAGCTGTACCCTGTAGAGCGGGAGGGCTCAAGTGGGAGGACAACTTGGCACAAGGTAACACTTCTTTTTCTTCCCCCGACCCAATCTCTTTCCTCTACATAATTATATGAATGAAATTAATTGGGGATACACATTTGCATATCTAGGTTATTTCTCTTATGGAGGGAAAGGTCTTTGGAGAGTACAGAAACAATTACAGGGCTGCCAGACAGTGAAATACCACCAGTTCTCGCAACACGTCTGCCGCCTTCAGCCAGTGTTTCACCCCAGGGAGGATTTGGCCGCAGAGCTCCAGAGAGATGTGATAAAGCTGTGGCGCAATATATGTGCGCGCGAGCGCCGTCCGTGAAGCAATTTATTGGCCTTCACCTGAAATCTTAAAATTACCACTTGGGCATTTATCATTTGTTTTGCAGAGAAGCAAGCACTGAAAATTACGTTTAGAAGAAAATGGGATTATACCTTCTGGAACCCATGGCAGCTAGTACACAGTGCAGGAGAATCTCATTTTTATAGTCACGCTGAGATGTTTTTCTTCCCCCCCCATCCCCAGTCCCCCCCCCGGCATTTTAAGACTATTGTGCCAAAATCCAAAGATATTTTTAATCCTCTGGTCTGGTGCAGTGAATTGTTGGAGGTGAAACAGCCAGAGTGTCCTGTTAAACCGGAAGCTCCCTAGAAAAAAATGTGTGGGTGTTGAAAATGTTCTAGTTAGTCAGGAAACACCAATGCTTCACCACTAGCAGGGATTTTTGTAAAGGTGGAAGTAACAACTATTTTTTTTTTAATATACTTAGCTCTTGTAAGTTAATCAGAGGTTTTACAAATCTGTAATTGTTAATCTATTACTTTCAATTACTTTATAACATAATGTGATATAATAAATCATTTCATCCAGACCATATGAATCTTTATAGTATGCTAATTTGGCCTGCAAGCATGGCAATGACGATGGCAACTGTGGCAATTGGATCAATTACAAAAATATTATTTTATAAAGAAATGTCAAGTTTCTGAAAAAATATGTTCATTTCTATGAACTCCTTACTTGTTTGAGTTTCATTTTGCATTAATTACTGCTTCAGTGTTGCATGGCAAGGATGTATTCAGTCTGTGGTTCTGCTGAGGGGTAATGGAAGCCCAGGTTGCTTTGATAGTGACCTGAGATCATCTGCATTGTTGGGTCTGGGGTCTCTCATCTTCCTCTTGACATTATCCCTTAGGTTTTCTCCTGGGTTCATATCAGCCAAGCTCTCTGACCAATCAACTGAAGTAACACCACAGTGATTGAATCACCTTGGTGCCTTTGGCAGTGTGGACAGGTGCCAATTCTGGCTGGAAAATGAAATCAGCATGTCTGTACAGCTTGTCAAAAGAAAGCATGAGGTTTTCTAATATTTCCCAGGTGACTTCAACTGTGAAAATTCAGAAAACACATTAGACCAGCGCCAGCAGATGGCATGGCACTTCAAGTAACAGGGATTCTGTGGTTCTCTTCCCTTCAATGTCTGGGATTTTGCTTTCCAAATAAAAAAAAATCAAACTTTACTTTAATCTTAAAATAAAACTCCCGGTTCTCTTCAAGGGAAGTGGGATTTTAATTAAGGCAGGGGGTATTTAAAGCACAACTGTACTGTGGGAGCAAAACAAACCATGCAAACCTTTTCTATGTTTCTTAACTTGCGTGAATGTCGGGGTTAATCTAAATTCAGCAAAGAGAACTGCCTTCCACCAGTCTTTGTCTCAGATTTTCATCCATAGGCTCTGTCTGCTGAACAGGAACGGAGTGAATTCAGCTGTAAAAGTCTGCTTTTTGCTCTCCCTCTGTTTAAAAACAGCAGGGGGAACAGGCCAGCGTAGCGCTGAATCTGCTTCGCAATTACAAGGAGCAGCAGGGACCCAGAAAACAGTTAGCAGGGAACAACGGGCATAATCATTTGAATTGGAATGAGCTAGAGAAAACAAAAAGTTTTCCTGCTCTTATATATTTATATATATATCTTTTTTTTTTTTGCAGAATGGTTTAATACTGATAGAATTGTTCTTTCTTTGTGGACATCATTTAAGGACACATGTTTAAGACTCCAAATGAAAGAATGTCACGCTTGTTCCATAAATACATTTGTCTGCATTAATTGGCTACAGAGGAGACATGGGTTTTTTTTTTTTATCTTGGAGGTTTTCAGCCCCACATACTGAGCAAAGACAACAATCTGTAAATTTTTTTGTGCAAAATCCAGAGTGTAATGCTACAGGATGACACAATTCACACATTCACACACAATCACTTCCCCTCAATTATATTGTGAGAATCTGCCTTCTCCGTGTGAACAGGTTTCCCACAGCAAAACACAGAATAATCGTGTTTTTCTTCAACTATTCAGGGAAAACTTTGTGTGATCTCCAAAAATATGAGATCACTCTCTGTTCTCCTTTTTATTACACCTTCATTTATGCAGGTAAAAAGTCTTAAAAAAAAATAATAAAAAATAAAAAATAAATATATATATATATATATATATATATATATATATATATATATATATATATATATATATATATATATATATATATATATATTTTTTTTTTTTATTTTTATATTTCCAAAAGAGTAAATTAAAAAAATTCATCTCTGACTACGATTACACCAATTAGCTAAACTGATCAACTGAAAGCAAAATCTTGACACAATTGTGAATCTTGTCATAAGGTGGCTCCCTCCTCTAGATACACATTAGATGTACACAGAAAAGCACACAAACAACACAAAACATAAAAAATCTAATCCCAAGAGGGCGATCAGTCCTGTGCTCAATCTAGCCAGGTAAGATTTCTTGTTAGACTCTTGTTCTTTTCATTTCTGTCCATATTTAAAAGAAGAAAGGAAAAAAAAACAGCACAGCTTGGAAAATATGCGAGTCACATTGCACAAGACAGCTGATAAGGAAAATGGACATTTATTTATTTTTTGGCCACAATGTCAACAAATGATCAGTGTATATAAATTACTATCTCCTGAATTGAGCTGTTTCTACCATTAAGGTTAAAAGCATGTATCTAGTTTTCTGAGAAAAATAAGTTTATTGTGCCTCTTTTAAAATGTCCAAGGGAAGCAAAGTGCAGTAAGAACAGAGGTGTTCTCTGCACGAGTAATGAGTAATTTACACAGCTAAACAGCTGTTATTTAAGAGAGAGTATTTGCAATATAATAATATTTCATAGTATGAGGTTTAGACTAAACTTTGTTTGAAAAATCCCTTAGTTAGACATAACTAATTTACAGAGTGCAAGTAAGCAGGATCTCTTTGCAGATTTTCTTCTGGTTTCTTTAAAAAATCCTCAAAGCAATTGTATCTGCCTTAAAAAAAAAAAAAAAATCAGAGCTCATAATCTCCTGTAGATAAGAAAAATGTTACTGTTGCACAAATTGCCAATTTAAGCTTATGATGAGGGTCAATGGCATCCGCCCACCACGGAGGCCAGTTTTACAAGTTAATGTCTGTGTTCAAATACTAATGCAGCCTTGTGCTGGCAGACAATAACGAGAAAAACACACATAACAAGCAGATGTGAAATAAAATTAACCGGATGATGCAGAAGGTGGCTGAATTTTGCATTTCCATCTTTCAAACCAGTATCCACTTTGCATAACAGATCTTTATTTGTCGAGCAAATGTCACTGCCACGGTCGCCTTCATTGTATGATCTCTTGTCTTTGTTTCTTCTGCTTTCATTTATTACTTTAATAAGGCTCAGTGTCCTCATCAAAGGTTGAGCTGCTCTTCCCTAAAGCCAAAGGGCATATTTGATATTCCATTCTTTAAGCAGTGATGAGAGAGAGAGAGAGAGCTCTTAAGCTTGAGTGTGATTGTCTTTGGTACAGCGTCACAGACCCCAGAGAGAGAGATGAAAAATACAGATGTTTTCTAATTTATTTAGAAGATTTTACAGTTATGTAAACACAACCAGGCAGACACACACACACACACACACACACACCCACACACACACAGTGTTTTCAAGCTTTATGCAGTTATTTTGATAGTTTAGAATGCAGCACAATTCGAGCCACAAAGGTTAATAAAATTAACATCTTTAGTAGGCCACTGCAGATTCTTCTCATTTTAAAACTGTTTATCTTCATTAGCATTAAATGCAAGGCTTGCGTTATTGCGCCATCTCCTGGTGCAGCTCCAGTTGAACTTTCTCAACATTAATCTAAGCGTTTGCTGCCACCTTTTGATGAATGATGTATACCACACACTTTAAAAAAAATTCAGCGAATGAGGTCGGTACACAGGGTATGTTCAGACACACGATGGAATTAATTATTGTGTTGTTTTAAAATAAATCTGTTGGTCAAATGATGAGTCTCTTTGCTTGCAATTCAACTCAGTTCTCTAGTTTGCGTTTAATGTTCCCTTCCGGTTTGCACACGGTCTCGCAGCCTTCAAGTCTCAGCTCTGCAGCAACAGGCTTGTGGGACTTCTCCAGACACGCAGAGATCAGATGGATGAAGCTCATGACGGTTATCAGAAGCATCAGGACTCCTGAAGGTGCAAAATGCTCAGTGTGAAACTCCGTGATGAAGTGATCTGTCAGGATAATCCTGTCCACTTACCACAGACGGCGGTGTTTATGGAGAAATTCTGGACACGGTAGCTGCTGGTGAACATTGAACCCAGTCCCAGAATGAGGACGGCATAAATGCTGAATGTGTGCCGCATGTACTTGATCAAGAAGAAGTTCTGCAGGGTGAACCTGTATGAGTTTAGCAACAAACATGGTCAGCCGTTTCTTATTTATTTTATTTTATTTTATTTTAATTTTACGTTCCCAAGCAAAATACGTTCTGAATTTCTGCCCTTACTAGGTACAAATGAATACGGAGATGATGAAAAGGACAGTGGCGCTGGCCACTCGGTCCTGCACACCGGCATAATATTTAAGCACTATGCCGAAGCCCACCACAGAATGAAAGAGAGACCACCAGGCAAACACAGCTAATCCATTCTGTGTCTTTAAAAAAAAAGGGATTTGAACATTGATCATTTTTCACTTCCTTCAACACTTCACAAAATAATTCATACCTCACAAACTTTTGAGTGCTTCAAAAATACAAACACAAACTTTATTTAACCAGATTTATACTCTGATAGACCACAATATAGCGCATAATTGGTGACAAAGGAAAACTATCACTGGCTTTATTAGTTTTTGCTTTTTTTCCCTAATAAAAATCTTAAAAGTATGACCTGCATTTATTTTCAACCCCTTTACTCTGATACCTTCAACTAAAGTCCTGTCCCGCCATTCACACTTTGAATGAAAATTATCAAACAGCTGAAAAACTGTGTTCCTTTAAATCTAGACTATGTGTAATGACAGCACTTGGCAAAATATGTTTCGATTGTTGATTTTTGCATTTTTTTATGACGTAAAGCACTTTGAACTGCCTTGTTGATGAAATGTGTTATACAATCGAACTTTGTTGACTGACTTGATTGATTGAATCAATAAAAATGTGTCTTAAGTGAGCAAAAAGGTATCTGAGTCACAGATAGAAAATGTAAAAAGACTGAGACTTTACCACATCAAAAGAAAAGTGTATAGGTGGATATTTTTCTTTCTGTTGTGAGCAATAAGAACAGGATATGCAATACTTCTCCTTTGAAAAGTCTTGCTGTATTTAACTAGTGTGATTTTGAGTAAAAACTGTGTAAAGTTGGGGTGGGAAATTTGAACTATTCATGAACAGTAGTCAGAAGCCATAGAAAACAATCGAAGGGCTGCAAGTGGCACCCAGGCAACACTCCTGGTCTTTATCAAAGAACACATATTTTTGTTAGGGGAAAAAAAAAAGACTCGTGGCTGTAATTGTAGTGAAAGATTCTTCTTCTTAAGTACTGACTCAGAGGCTCTAAGTACACATTCATACCACACTATTCAAATACTTGTAAAGAAAAAGAAAACATTCATGTTTTTCTTCCATTTCACAATTAGGCACTATTTTGTGTTGGTCTACTGCCTAAAAACCCAATAAAATACATACAAATGTTTGCTTGTAACATGACAAAATGTGAAAAAGTGCAATGGTTATTGAGGTTACTGTAAGGCACTGTAACACTGCAGAAGCCATCACAGTCTTATCACCAGATAACGTGTCCATGGAATCACACCGGGGTTGTTGATTGCCAGCCAGGCTTCGTGCTTGTTCAGGTTGGAGTAGGAAAGGAAAAGCATGTAGAAGCTGTGAAGTGGTAAAATCCACCTAGACAACACTGCCGGTAGGATATAGCTGTAGAAAGCAGAAATAGCTTTAATCCACCGGCGTAAATAGTTTACTTATTTAATCTTAGCCACATGATATACAGTGTTGCATACAACTTACTGCCTATCCCACATAGGCATGCTACAGACTCTTGTAATATTTATGATGGCCCACATCAGAAAGAATTTGGGAGGGTGGATTTCAGGATTGCACGACTGGGGGCCGAGTACATTTCTATAGACAGGAGAGGAATGTCAAGATCAGAAATTCTGCCAAAAACAACCTTTATTCTTGCACCACAGATGTACCTTCTGAAGAGGCTCACAGCTGCATAAACAAGCCACATTTTAGACCACAGGTCAATACAGATCCAGAAGGTCTCAGACCACGAGTCCATAGTCAACTCTAGGGAGACAGTCTCTGACACATTCCAGGATGAAGTCTGAAAAACGGCTGAGGAACCAAAAGCTAATAATCACTAATCTGCGTGTATTCACGATCTCGCAAAAAAAAAAAAACACTAATATCAAAAGTTGCGTGAGAAGACACCAGCATTTCTTTGATTCCTACAATCTGTGAGTTTTAACTCCATGACTGAAATATGCGTGCATGATGTATCACTCACTGTTGGGCACTTTGTCTTCCTTCGCCAGGTAAAAAAAGACTTCTGAGATGATTTGAGTGATGATTGCAAGAACGATGCTGCCAGCGTGCATCGCCAAATGGGAACCAGTATTTTCGATCCGGGGAAACATGGTGGAAGTCGTTGTACGCTGTGATATGCTGACCGACTGCAGCGGGGAGATTCTGAAGACAACGTATTAGTACTATTATCTTGTTCGTGGGACTTTGGAACTTGGCTTTTGCTGAGAAATTTTATGAACTTGCTCTGATTACTTTTCCATGACATGTTGCAAACAGCTTGGTTATTGAGTCCAACTATTTGACCCATAAATAGAATTTCTCCAAGGAGAAAAAAAATATAGTTATTTTGAATTAAACATTTATTACAAGACTCATAAAAAAAACACCTCTTACAATTTATGGTTCTCTTAGCCGTACATTTAACTCCCAGCAGGAATAAAGTTTAATAGTGTTAAAATGATTAGCTGCCTCTTTTCACTCATGTACATGTCTTCTATGACCTTATAAAATATGGCTTGCTCTCAGCTGTCAGTGAAGCACATCAGGTTCTGGACTTTAAACCTACATGTCACTCTTTGTTTACAGAAGTTCTGAACCCACATGGAGTGTAATGACAGAGTGCATGCTTCCTCCGGTGATTAAATCATTACAAAACTATATAGTTATCTCGATTTTATCTTCAGAGATTTTTCTAAGCAAGTTCAGTGATTTCCACCTGTGAACTTTATTTTTTTTATTAACAATGTTAATGCAATCTGTTGGCAAAATGAAAAATTCAAGAATATGAATATATTATGTTCCATGAACAAAAAAAAAAAAAATGTCATTGTCCAAATCTGCTTATTCTTTCAGTTTTGCAGGGAGACATGGTGTCTTTCTCCAGCAGTCTGAGGTATGAATGTTGTCTCAAGTTTTCTTAAGAAAGTGGAATGCCATCCTAAGCATTCACGATGTGAAAATCCTTCTTTCTATGTACATGTAATATTTTACCAACATCACAGGAAAGTATTCATAGGAAAAGGTTGTGATTGGGTTGTGACAACGAAATTTCCACCGGAGTCAAACTGAGTTCATTGTCCGTGTAAAGCGGTTGGTTGTGATGCCGCCACGCCACCAGGATGATGCGAACCACAAGCAGGACACAGGCAATCACCAGGATCAAAACTGCAGAGTGAGACCGAAATTAAGTATTCAAATATACATTATCTTGGAACTTGTAGGCCCTTCATAAACAGCAGATATACAGTGAGATGAGACCTTTTTTTTCCCTATTTCATTTAGTTGTATAATAACTTTAATATTTCCCCAATAATTGTCCACACATATTTTTCGGCAAAAATCTAACACCTCACTTGTACTCTCTTGAGTACCCATGTTTGAGGTTCATGAACATTTAGGCACAACTGGAAGCACTTCAGTTGTTCAATAATAAAATTATTTCTTTAAAAAACACACACACACACACACACACACACCCACACACACACACACACACACACACACACACACACACACACACACACACACACACACACAACCTGCCCACAATTAGCCATATATGCAAAATGACAACGTTTTATCTGTTTTATCTTTTCAATATTGATGCACACTTGAAACTTTACCTTCAAGGATGTACAAATTGGTAGCAGGAGATGCATTGTTGTCCAGGATGCCTGTCAGCCACAGGATAACTACAGGGTAGATGGCCACGGTATAGCGCATGTGCTTGTCAAGATAGAAGTTCTCCAACAGAAACCTGAAAGCAGCAGAAGACAAAAAAAAGGCTCGTTTTTGTCCTCTGCTCCTTCGTGTCTTGCAACAGCAGCAGTTAAACTACGTGAGGCAGCTGGGAGTCAGACTCACCACACTAACAGCTCCATCAAGAGCAGCAGCAGTGACACCATTGTGCAGTGATATCGAGATGCTTCCGTCTGATGCTGCAAGTAGATTGTCAGGTTCAGCAAAGTGGAGAGCGTCCCCCAAGTGGCATACACTGCCACTCCATTTTGCACCTGTTTTGACACAACGAGAGACAGCTCGAGTGAACCAAAAACCAGTTAGTAAAATGCTGCAAAGACGTGTGTTTTTGATGAATTTATTTAGACACTCTTCCAGTTACTTGCTTATGAATAGTTGTTTGTGTTTTTGTGGCATCAGATAGAACACATATGTAAATTATGTTGTCTCACTCACTCACAATCTGCTGCTTCTATGTTGTCTAATAATTGTAAAAAGAAAAAAAAAAATCCTCCATTACAACAATTTTCTAAATATAGAAAGTCCGACAAATCGGTGTCAGCCCCACCCATTGACTTGGATGGGTGAGCTCGGCAGATAAAAACAAGATAAAAACAGAAAACAGGGAAGTAAAAAGGAAGAGGAAGTTCCAATTCACCTTAATGATTTTCAGCATAAAAATGAATGTTTTTTTTTTTTTTTTACAATTGCTTATCAAAGCTGGCTGCAGTATGTGATTTTACAAGCTTTTAGTCGTACCTGTCATAGTAAGTATGTTGCAAAGACCAAATAAAAAGTCGCCCACGAATGTTGCCCTCTATTTATAGTTTTACCAATATCCTGAACATCCAGAGATCCACGTTGCGATGTTTGCTCAACCAGGCACCGTAAATCTTTAGCCCATGGCAGGAGAAAAATAGCATCATGTAATCAGTTAGTGTCATTAGAGCTGAGGTTATGAGCACTGGGAGCAGCATTCTGGACACAGAGAAATAAAATGTCCATATGAATCAAAAGAGGTGACAACAGGAGGAGCCTGATGGTTAGTGTGAGTTGGCATACTTACTCTCTGTCATACAGAAAGAGCCAGGTGATGTTCAAGCTAAGGTATGTGATGACGCTGACGTGAAACCCATAAGGCAACACTGCAGGTGTGGCGTACATCCACTCATATGTACTCCTGCGCTGGGCAGAGATAATACAGTTAGATACTAAGCACATGTCGACAAACAGAAAGAGCCTGTGGGGAAATAATGTGTCTTTTCCTACGATGTTTGAGCAATCTGGTAGGTGTAAAGAGAAAACGAGTGTACCCGAGGAGAAATAAATTCACTAGGTACAAGAAAGTGTGATTTCCCACATGTGACAGGACAGAAGGGTGAAGTAAAGCGTTAAAACAGAAAGAAATATTCCTTCTGTGAAAAAGCTGTAGAACCTTTACGTCTGTAACTCGAAAGTGTTGAAAACTGAGCACGTGGTTTTACGCCAATGAGTTTGTGTTGTCCGTACTGAATAAATAAATTGTTTTTAAAAGTGCTTACCTTCTGCAAAGTCCAGTCAAAAAGTACACAAACATGGCAAAAAACCAAAAGTGAACGAAATCCCACACGAAAAACGTCCACTGAGCAGGAGTCACAGATGTCTTGTACTTGGTTGCGACATCTTCTGTACGCTGCCTGAAGACACCTGCATTGAGAGTTACCTATTTATTCTGGAGAATCCTTTTTTAAATCCTTGAGATGACTGGATTCACATAAAACCAAAAAAATATATATATATTCACCTGAATGATCTCCAAAGCCTGAAAGAAAGTTTAAAGTAATTGCAGGAAATAAGGCAAATAATCCGACAAACATCAGAATAATCCTGGGTGGGTTGTGGTTTACCATGGTGACCGTGAGGGGGTTAAAATCCACAGGAGCAAAAGTTTGTATTAAAAATACAAAAAAAAGTTTAATCTATTTGTCTTTATTCATCTGTCCTATGGTTCTCAAATAACAAACGGAGTTAAATCTCAGCCGTATAACAGGGAAGGACGAGACCTATCATAACTGGTGTCACAGTGTGTCCTTTTTATAGCATCCTTTATCTCCCTCTGTCATAAACAGTTTGTTATTTTGTTGTTAAAAGTAGGGTGGAGAGTAAAGATTAACTTGTGTCAAAAGTACTAGAAACAGTTGAATGTGTTCAACACAAACTAGGTTACCCTAAAGGCTGCAGTGGGGAGTTTATAAACTAAAAAAAAAAATAAATAAATACATGAAACAAAGCTTTCAAAAATTAAAAAAGACAAAGGAAGAGTGATGATCTCCCGTGCATGCAAACTTCCTCTTCTGTAAAGACAACAGATGTGCTACAAACTTGTTGGTTTTTAATGTTCATAGTTTAGTAAAAAAATATATATAAAGTTTATTAAATTGTTCATTTCTATATTTCCCTAAATGTTTGCTGTGTTTTTTTACTACAGTACTACTACTTTGGATTTTTAGGGCAGATTACAAATATAGGTTGTTTTTTTAGTAACTGAATGGTTAATATTCAAATTCTGTTTACAAGGAGTGCTGACTCCTTTTAAGTCAAGATAAGCCTCTGCGGGTTTTGTGTGTGTAGCTTTTGTCCACACAGTGGCACCATTGCTTAATACGGTGGTATTGTGAAGCTGTCAAGAGTCGTGTGGACCAGCAGCTTGCAGAAGAATTTGCATGAAAACACATGGTTAGCTAAGAAGACGCGACTTACCACTACTCTGGCTGTTTTATTAATCTAAATAGTGCACAGATTTGAGAAAATGTAGCTGGAGTGGATTTCCATCTGGCAGGAGGAGACAAAACACACAGTGTCATGTATAAGTTTTGAGTCAATTTTAATTTCTTTGTATTTGCTTCCAACAAAGCAGATTTCATCGTGATAATTTACTATGATTATGTGAAGTATTTTAATCTAAGGCTCTAAACGTCGGAAGTTTTTTTGTTTTTATTTCTTTTTATCGACCCACTCAACTTTTAGCGCTTGAGGCACTAAAATGTTCATCGAGTTTTAGGTTGAACTAGTGTTGTGTTCACACTTCTATACAGTGCTGTGAATTGTCCCTGATATCCACTAATTAGTTGTATTACCTTTGGTGGCAACAATCACCATCAAGCTTTGTGAGACTTTTTGAGCCAATTTAAGCTACAATCTCAATCCAATTCAAGTCTGAACTTTGACGAGGCCACTCCAAAACCTCTGTGGTGTTTTTCATCAATTAAGAGGTGGAGTTACTGGTTTGCTTTTAAGTGTAGCCGCAGAATCTATCTTTTGGATAAGAAAATACTCTAATTCTTAATTTGCTTTTAAAAGTAAAACAAATCAAAGCGAATATTAACGCTCCGACTTGTAAAGTCTAATTTAAAAATATAGTGTGGAACTTCGCAATCGGGGTTCCCTAAGGCTCTGTTGTTTTTTGGTCATATTATCCAATATCCATATGCCCACTTTTGTTTACTACAACAGCATCACACCGTACCTATACTCTGATGTGTCTCTAATAATTTATAAAATTTTATTTTTCAGGATAAAGATATTTTTTTAGTTAAAAGCACAGATTCAATCAGTGTTTATGTGGGTATGCTGCAGGGAAACAAATGATCATATTTGATAGTCATCATGGAAGAGTGGATAAAAAGCTCTCTGCTGTTACAGCTCTTCATGACACTTAAGTCAACGAGCTCTTCCCACTTTGTTGAAGCTAAATATACCGAAAGAACACTTGACATTGTTACAGTCGGAGCAATATTTGGTGTCGGCTGAAGTTGTGCTCTAAAGCTTAGAATGGACAACTCTTTCATGTTGACTGACTGATTACTGTGACCCAAGCTGCTGGCAAAGGACAAGGCCCAATTTGTTGACTGTTCATCATCTAATGAGCCAAATCACATCCAATTACACGCCCGCCACTTTTGATCACTTTCATTATGAGGGATATGTGCATGATGGGTATTAATAAAGATCACTGTCACTTTGGGATTATGTTGTGATTCACATTGTGACTCATTTAGATCTTTGCAACAATAAATCCTGTAGTTACACTGAAGCATCGTTTAATGACAGCACAGCTCCTATATATATATATATATTTTTTTTTTTTTTTTTTTTTTTTTTTTTTTGTTTTTTTTTGCAGGAAAAACAACTTTTTTTTGATATTTTTGCAAAAGCTGTAAATCCTTTCAATCAGGGAAGTTGAAAAATCATGCCTATAAGACATTTCTGTGTAGGCTTTACTGGATAATAGGGACCGTCCTGCACACAACGTTTGGTATTTAGAGACCTTGACTAATAGGCTCTGTGAATTTGTCTTTCCCCAGCGCAGACTATGTGACTTTCACGCTGCAAATTTATGAATAACATTTGTGGATCCCCATAGAACCAAGGTGCCTGTTAATGCCACAATTATACTGCCATGACCAATACTGGTGGTTGTGATACGCAGATTACAAATGAGGATGGCAGAGGACAATAAAGGTGAGGAAGTATGGGTGAAGTGTGCAATACCCCTTGAATTTCTTCCCTTGTTGTCCAGTTGAATGCCCCACAAACTTGAATGCCCACTTTATTCAGATTTTATATAAATCAACACAAAGGATCATGGGAACTGGGATAAAACATGATTTTATTTTATTTTCTAAATATTTGACAAATGTGGTATGTATTTGTATTCAGCAATTTTTTTTTTGATACACTGTCTTTAGAAACCAGTAAAATTTGGTGGGAAGATGGACAGAGCTTTGAGCAGGAAGAAAACTAGTTAGAGACTTAAAGCACAACAGGGGTTCATCTTCCTAGAGTGCAGTTACCTTAAAAATACACCCAGAACTGGCTTAGATCAAAGAACATTATGAGCCAATCAAAGTTTTGATCAAAATCCAATTCAAAGTCTCTAAAAATAGCAAATTGGGGATTGAAACCTGGCTGAGTTTTAAGTAAGTCTGAAAAAAATGAATGGGCAATGCTACAAAACCTAAAATGGAAATCTAGGATTCACAAGGTGTAACAAAAAATGTATAAAGTAAATCTACTGAACTTTACCCTGGTCACTTTTGGAATTTGGATTACATTGTCCAAATTCAGATTCACACACTTAACAAATAGGAAAGCAGTACACTTCAAGGTCTCCAAGGCATAAACAAAACACAAAAATATTCCTTTCTGACTGAAAATGAAAACAATCCTAATTAAAAATTAAAGTACAATGCATTACTTATCTGGGTGACCAGAAAACAGGGAAGGACCAAGTAAAAGAAAATGGCAAAGAATCCCTACCATAGTTTCCATCAATAAAAATATATCTTGAATTAAAACAGTTTACCAAACAGAAAAAAAAAAAAATTGGTACACAGGATTATGTTTAACAGTCAAGCAATTTATAGATACCCAAGAGGAATTGATTTGGCACTGAATGACTGAAGGTTTTATGGAGTCAACTGATGAAGAGAAAATGATTTTAGCTGTGCATCAAGGTGTAACAACAAGCTTGCAAACAAAGCAGAATTAAAGAAGCTCTCTTTGACTAAGAGAGCCTCTGGAGGTCAATGGATGTAAGCAGCAAAATGTTCAGTCTAAATATGGAAAGCTGATAGTGCCATAGCCCAAAGGACTTGCAACTCTAATTACAGTGAAAGGTAGTGCTCTAAATTATTAACCCAAAGGGCTGAATCCATTTATGCATGTAACAATTTTTAAGTTTTTTTGTAAGAAAAAAATGAATTAAAAACGTGTAATATTCATAGTTATGCAATAGTTTTTATTGCTCCATAATATTTGTGGTTGAAATGGGCCAAACATTCAAGGGATCTAAAGACTTGTGCAAGGCACTCATGTCTCATGTCTCATATCTCATATCTAAGCCTTTCTTGTTCCTTTAACGGTGACTTAAATCAGAAATCAGGAATACTTTGTTTATCCCTGGGGGAGAAGTTTCGTCACAGCTACCTCGGCCAAAGATTCAAAATAAATAGAAGTGTAAAAGTAGAATATTTGCTAAAAATAGTTTGATAATAAATAATAAAGTGTTAAACAAAAACTCTTCCCTAAGAAACTTTTAGAACCGCCTCTGCCCACAGCAAATGCAGTGACAAGAGACAAGAAATTGTACGGGGGAATAGAGAGAAATGAACAGACTGAAAAACATGTCCCAAAAAGAATATAAATATATCTACACAGCACTAGGAGATAAGAATTTATTTTTTTTTCACTTCTAGACACTCAAACTACAATAATAAT